ATGTTTAATGAGAGGTGCACCGAGTATATTTTGCCCAAATGCTGAGTTAGAAGGAGTAAAACACCTATTTGGCTAAAACTGAGACCAAAGGCAAATATCTCCACTAAAGAAGGAACTTTTGGGATACTGGAATACATCTGATATATACAAAAATTCCTTCTATGATTTCACTATTAAAATTTTTATAGGCTACATTTTGCAAGTTTGATTATTTTATTTAAAAAACCCATCATTTTCTCAGTTTTCTCCATCATGAAACTTTAATACGGCAAAGTTAACATTCTGCTTTGGAGTCTTCCTTCAAGATATAAAGAAGTGACAAACAGAACTTTAAAAAGACTTATGGCTTAAATGGAGATAAATTCATTTTAATGTATGCATGCGAGTATACCAATTATGTGACAATTAGAATGATGATATAATTTAATCTCCACCTATCTTATTTACATCTTCTCAAAAACTAACTCAACCCTCTTAATATTTCCCTATGTATTTAACGTTTTGTAAGTTAGTCTTCCTGTTTTCTTTGTTTTTGTTTTTTGTTTTTTTAGAGAGGGAGGGTGGGGTGGGCAGAGTGAGAGGGAGAGAGAGAATCTTAAGCAGGTTCCACACCTAGCTTGGAGCCCCACATGGGACTCGATTTCACGACCCTGAGATCATGATCTAAGCTGAAATCAAGAGTCAGTTGCTTAACTGACTGAGCCACCCAGGCTCGTAAGTTAGCTTTTTTTTTTTTTTAAAGATTTTTTTTATTTATTTGACAGAGAGAGACACAGTGAGAGAGGGAACACAAGCAGGGAGAGTGGGAGAGGGAGAAGCAAGCTTCCCGCTGAGCAGAGAGCCGGCACAGGGCTCGATTCCAGGACCCTGGGACCATGACCCGAGCTGAAGGCAGACGCCTAATGACTGAGCCACCCAGGCGCCCTGTAAATAAGTTTTTATACATAAAATTAACAGCATTCATGGTTAACTTTGCAAAGTTTTATTACTGCAGTAATAAATGTACATTTAAACTTCAGCGCTTACTGATGGAGTTTTCGCATGTAAAACCCCAAAGGAGAGTTTCCCTCCAAGTCACAAACTGGAGATTGGTATTTAAAAGGGAATACTAAGATGCTAACAATAATTCTGCATGACATGTGTTGTTCGTATTGCTGGCACTGTTACCCTGATTAGATACAATGGCAATCTCTGCAAGCACATGACCACAGATTAGGCAAAAAATCAAGATGCAAGAAGTGATGTTGAAATAAGCATTTGGCTATTTAGGTTTCCATAAGCAGAGAATGAGTCAAAGCTAAATAGCTGATTTTGGCCGAATACTCATCCTAAAGACAAACTTGAGCACATTCCTAACTCAGCATAAAGGACATTATTATATTTTATTTTAAAATATTTCATTTTATTTATTATTCAACAGTTCTCCCATTCCCAACTCATCTAGTTCTAGAAGGTGTTAGTTCAAACTAGTGCTGGCTAGATATCCTAGCATTCCCTGTTTGGTCTTTCAGACTGGTCACAAAAGCGTTACGTTTTAAATCAGTTTTATAAATTCAAAAACATGTAGAAAGTTGGAATGAAAGTTTTAACCACATATATTTCAGTTCCTGTAGTCATAGGAAGCCTGTGACTATACTGTGTATTGGAATACGGTGACTTCTATCTCATGCCAAAACATATCAAAAGTTTGAAGTGTATGCACAATAATTTCCTATTACCTATAGACAGTGGTACTGGATCACGATAATGTGTCACGAAGTAATTACTAGCTGACATATAAACTGTACTATCCATGGAGTAAATAGTTTCATAATCAGTATTTTATTTGATGTTGATTTACAAATCCACCCTTTTGTACTTGACTTCTGTATACCTACAGTCACTCCATATGTGCATTTAGAGATGGTAATTTCATTGCCTCTTTTACATTAAAATCCAATATTACAGTAATATTCATGATGACTTTAAATGCTTAATACTTAAAATAATTTACTTTAAAGGGTGGTACGATACATTATATCATTTTGCAATACAGAGAAAAATGTCTATAAATCTCCTACTCTTATCAAAATTATTATAATTTTGTTACTTCTGTCTCATTCTCATACACTTATTTTATATGTGGTTGAAAGAAGTTGGAATTTTAAAAAGTAGCCTGAGGAGGCTGTGTTAAATCATGGGGATAAATACTTCAAATATGGCATATTTTTAAAGGCACAATGAGATCATCATGTATAAATCCTACTTGGTTCCATGGCTAATCAATCAACCAACCAAAAACTTGGTGCAAAGTGAACTGGGAAACTGGTAATAAAAATTTTTAAAATATCTAAAATATTTTTATCTGAAATAACCAGTGGCTAGAGCAGAAATAATTCCAGGCTTACATTATCTAACAATTACTTTTTTACTTTCTTCCATTCCAGCTTTGGGATTCCAGCACCACCCTACGAAATTATGTTCCTTTACTATAGCTGCTTTATCTGACGCATTCTGCCTGTGTTTGGCTGGTGAGTCTCCATAGTGGCACTGTTCATACTACTTCATCTAAACCGTGAAAACACAATGATGACATTCATGTTTTTTGTTTAAAATATAAATATTCTGCTCAAACCCAGATGTGTCTTCAGATTTATTTCCTTTTCCTTGATGTTCTCTATCTTGTGTGTTTAATCTCTCATACATTTTACGGACAGTACAAATAGAAAAAAAGGAAAAAAATGATAATTCTATTAAAAAAAGCTCAGAAATAAGAAAAATTTTATTTGAAAACTATTAAAATGGTTATATCATAATAAATTTCCTTATTTGGCAAGGTATTTGTATGCTTGTTTTGGAAGAATATTGTACTTAAATTACATTTTGCTTCTGTGAACATCTGTTTTAAACTTTCTTGAAGTGTTTGTTTCAATGGTTTTACTCAAATAAAATCATGATACCTCACGCTTCTTTCTACTGAGGAGATTCTTATATGATTAGATACTAAATATAGATTTTTATATAAATTTTATTGAAAAAAACCAGTGAGATAAATTTATTGCTTCTGTTTTAGTGTAGTTTCTACCAAAGAAATCCATGTTTACATTGAATTAATTTATACACAGCTTTCTTTTCTTTAAACTTATTTCTTCATTTGTCCTCAAATTGTATTTATTTTTGCCGAGAACAATAGTTTATGAATAGAACATTCATGGGGCCCGGTGACAACCATGATTTATTCCAATTCTCTCTGGAATGGTGCAGAAAAGTGGGTTTATT